ACGTCACATAACTGATTATAACACTCCAGTTCAAAAGAATTTAATGCAAAAAATTATGGCTTTTTTAAAAATTTTTTCCGCTTAACGATTATCAGATGATAAATTAACATTAAAGCAGAGTAACAAAGTTGCGATTAGACAATTTAGATGTGGTTTTACGGAGTTGTTTTTTTAACAGTGAATTATCCTTAACAGACACTTAACTATCCTAAGTTAATGCTCTTCTTCCATCAAATGAATATTGAATCGACATCAAACAAATCAACATTATCCAACCAAAAAATTAATCACTGTATCATTGCATATTGTCTTCACTGTCTACAAAATGACAGTAACTCTATGTACATACATTGTTTAAAAAAATAAAGACTATTCCGGTTTTTTAATTTACCTTTTAAACAATTGATAAATTCGAATTATCGTTGTCTTCTATCAGTTGCTCTAGTATGCCGCACCAGTGCTCCAGCCCGTTCTAATTCTTTTACCAGTCGGCCATCTTCATCTTTTCGTTGTGTATCGTCGTAACCACCAAAAAAGTAGCCCCCAATAAACAGTTGTGGCACTGTCCTGACTCCGTTTCTTGATTTCAGATAATCCTAAGCATTAGTTTTTCAATATTACTTCGTATTACTGCATTGCTAAGTTTCAGAACAGTCGTTTAAAGTTTTTATAACTGGCAGATACGTATTTAACAAACCGCCGGTAATAGAGTCAGACAACTTTGCCGAAAAAGGCATTTGCACCACCCCAATCCACTCCTTCTCACCTGACCCTTATTCATCTCCTCGTGAAGCATATTAAGGACTTCATTTAAAAAAATGATTCAAAAAATAATTTAAGAAGCAATCATTATTTAAGCAAGTCTCATACTTTAAATAAGTTTTTAGAAGAAAAATCAAATCATAAGCTTTTTTGGCGGCTTTTTTGGAAATTTAAAAAAAAAAATATTTTTTTTGAAAAGGAAATTTTGCTTTTTCTTTTAAATTATTATTAGGATTTGATATCTGCTGTACCCATCAAGTAATAAAAGTTATATGTTGCTACACACTGGTTTAAATGTAATGAAAATGCTGAAAACAGACTTGAATCATACTCATATCCGGTTCGTGGTCGAGCTCCACAATTTTCAGACCTTGCAGGCTATACTGCGATAAAAGTTTTTTCATCCGTTTACTGAATTTGCAGTAGGATTTGGAATATAGCATCACTTTGTTATGTCGGATTTCATGTTCAACACGTTCTTTGATCTCATCCATTGTCGCATTGCGATGTTCATGCTCATGTTCTTGTGGCAGCTCTCGCTCCTGCCCTTGTTCCTGTTTCTGTTCTTGCCCCTGCTCTTGTCCCTGTTCTTTTTTTCGCTCCTGCCCCTGTTCCTGTCCTCCTTTCCGATCACGCTCCTGTCCCTGTTCCTGTCCTCGTTGCCGTTCACGCTCTCGCCCCTGTTCCTGTTCTCCTTTCCAATCACGCTCCTGTCCCTGTTCCTGTCCTCGTTGCCGTTCACGCTCCTGTCCCCGTTGCCATTCACGCCCCTGCCCCTGTTCTTGCCCTTTTTGCCATTCATGCTCTTGCCCCTGTTCCTGTCCTCGTTGCCATTCACGCCCCTGCCCCTGCTCTTGCCCTCTTTGCCGTTCTCGCTCTCCTGGCTCATAGTCCACAGTTTTTCGTAGTCGCTCTCCAGGCTCATAGTCCACAGTTTTTCGTAGTCGCTCTCCTGGCTCATAGTCCACAGTTTTTCGTAGTCGCTCTCCTGGCTCGTGGTCCACAGTTTCTCGTTGCCGTGTTCGTGCCTCATAGTCCACAGTCTTTTGTTGCCGTGCTCGTGCCTCATAATCCACAGCCTTTTGTTGCCGTGCTCGTGCTTCATAGTCCACAGTTTCTCGTTGACGTCCTCGTGGTACATAGTCTACAGTTTTTCTTTGCCGTCCTCGTGACTCATAATTCAAGGTTTTTCGTTGTTGTTCACGTGATGTATAGTCTACAGGTTTCCATTGACGTTCTCGTGGGTCATAATCCAAGGTTTTTCGTTGTCGTTTACGTGGTGTATAGTCCACGTGTTTCCACTGACGTTCTCGTGGGTCATAGAATGCAGTTTTTTGTCGACGTTCACGTGGTGTATAGTCTACAACTCCCTGTTGTCGTCCTCGTTGCTCATAGACCGGAGTATTCTGTTGAGGTTCTCGTGGCACATACTCTACAGTTTTTCGTTGTCGTCCTCGTGGGTGATAATCCGCAGCTTCTGCTAATATTACCAAACTAATACACTAAAAATGAAATAATTAGAGTTACGAGTAATTATTTTGGGGAGATGAAAAAAGTTGGATCAGATTACTGCTGGTACTCTGTATTCAGCAAACAGACGTCATTTGTGACTTTTGGTTCAGAACTATTATCTTGTAGAACAGTAAACAGCAAATTTTTTCCATTAAGGTTTTTTTTGAGCTAATGATAAAATTATAGATTTTGATGGTTGTTTTATTCAATGAAAGATTAAGTTTGTATTGTACGTCTACCACTTCTGACGAAAAAATTTACAACGTACCACAAGAGTAGCAAATAGCGGAAAACTGGGATTTTTTATCGTCATTATCAAAGGCACTGCTATCGTTACACTGTCAGGATACCGATGGGAAGCCTTACTGTTATTC